ATTTTCCTAATATTGGATTCCTTCAGGGATTTTGTGCCAGTTTCTCCTGTACATACGTCAGAGCTTTACAGAAATATCTTACAGTGGCACTTGATGTTCCCCATGGCTTGATCCTGCTCTTAAACTGCCAACCAAATGCCAACTGCACTGCAACTGCACACACTGTCCAAACTTCCCTTTCTACCTTCTGTCCATCCTTCCACTCCCTCGAGGAAATCTGTGACAGTTTTAACACAAGCTGCCTTTTTCTATATGGCATACATAAGAATTCGGCTATCTTGCACAGAGCACAGTAAAGATCTGGTATGCTCTGACTGGGCCTGGAGTTGACAAGAGCAATGTAGAACACTTTTGGGAGAGGTTTTTACCTACCTTTCCTCCACTAGAACAGGTTTCTTTCCCAGCAGGCACAATGAGTTCTTCTGTGGCTTTCTTTCCCTCTTCTGGCTCTTCGACATTGTTTGGATGCTGAGTTAACTCTTTGCTCTCTAAGACTTCTGGCTTTGGCACACTCTGCTGCTGGAGACACGGTGGAGACACATGATCATAACGAGTGTGCAGTATGCGAACTGCAACACTGCTCACAGCCAGGGACTCTGGAAGATCAAATCCGTGCTGTGCCTCACAAAATGTGTGATTTTTGAAGCTGTGAAAGACAGGGGCGGGGGGAAATAACAGTCCCTAGTAAGATTGGCAGCAGTTATTTTTATGTTTCTTCAGAAATATTCAAGTCTCTTTTGAGATTTGTTGCGTGGCACAGTGTAAGAAACAGAGCCAAGCTGTCTGTGTTCTATCAGTCCCAGCATCTTCCACATAAACCCCAAAGAGATACACAGATTAGAAAGCAATTTTGATAGTCAACAGTCTGACAGTCACTGATCCATGTGACAGGGCAGAAACAGGCTAAGAGGAGGCACAAGGGGCCAACGTGCATCAAACGTATTATCTAACTTATGAACTTGAGTTCCTTCATAGATATGGAGTTTGTTGCTTTCCAACCAAAGCCAGAAGAATTTCCACATAAGACCTTCCAAAAATCCTCTAGTCAAGTAACATTTATTTTTTAATTGTTGGTTGAATATTTTAACTGAACCTCTGTGCTGACAATAAGACTTTAAGCCAAATGGGCTCTTCCTGCAGCCACTGGAATCACAGAATGGTTTGGGTTGGAAGGAACCTTAAAGTTCCAACCCTTGCCATGGGCAGGGACACCTTCCACTAGACCAGGTTGTTCAGGGCCCCATCCAACCTGGCCTTGAACACTGCCAGGGATGGGGCAGCCACAGCTTCTCTGGGCAACCTGTGCCAGTGTCTCACCCAACCTTCTAGTTAACTTAGCAGACTTACAGGACCTTAGTCAAGGTAAACTTATTTAAGAAATTTATTCCTCAGATTTGCAGGGTAGGAGTAGGAAGTCTGCCCAAAGATCTCATTTTGAAAAGTGTATCAGTTAATGGTAATCTAATAAAACCCCAAATCTGAGATTCAGAACCCACTAGGGAGGATATTTACATCCCAGGCTGTAGAATCTTTTATCTAACAGAGAACAGAGCATAAAGTATCACTCACAGCTTTGGAAGCAACTGTAAGAGCTCAGAAACTATTTAATGCATTCACAAGCAACACTACTTGCAGAGGAATATATATATATATATAAACCACTCCTGTTTCTTTCACAGAACTCTGATGTAACCAGTACCTTCCTCAGCACAGGACATTCATCATTTAGAGTCTGTAGAACAAATGCTAATCAAGATGAAAAAGAGTATTAGAAACTGGTTCTTGGTGTTTACTCAACTTGGGTAGACAAGGCCTCAAACCAAATTAAGAATTTCAGTGTGCTGTACCTTACTTCCTTCTTCAGATTGACCCATATACAGAAAGTGACATTTTGATCCTTCACAATTGCCTGCATATTGCCAGTTTCAGAGTCTTCAGGCATACTAGCTGTCTACAAAGGAAGAAAGACAAATCATGTTTTCTTCCTATTTATATCACTTTGATTCAATTACATTTACACTTGAATAAATAAAAAGACATGTAGGAATGAAAACACAGCAGACCAAGCCCAAGTGTGCTGTATTTATGTGCTAAAAGATGACAGTTATAAACTTCAATCTCTCTGTTAAAATTTGTACTATGTTCTTTCTTCTCCTCTGATTTCAGCCAATCCTACCAAATATGGGATCTTACATTATCCCCCTGGATGGCACTGTGTATCTCCTTGGATCAGGTACCCTCAAAAAATGTAAAGTTATAAAAAAACAGTCCAAAAAACCCACTTCCTAAGCACCACCAAAAAAAGGCTTCCTAAGACTTCTAACCCAGAGTCACTGCACAGAAATGATAATTACATTGGGAATTTAACCCAAAACCCAGTAAAGACAATCAAGAATTTAACACTCCTTAATTTGCAGAGGGTTTTTCTTCCCAAGATTTTAGTTTAAAGAATATTTCAATCACAGGAACTTGGATTAAAAACTGTGTACAAGGTAACCTTATGACCTGCTTTTCACACCTGCAATTTTTTAGAGTCAATTACCTTTGATTTAAATCGAAGTAGGGTGGTACATATTACAGTGAAGTGCTCCTTGTTTTCAACATCTGCAAATCTCACAGAATGTCATAACGATTTAATCCTAGATGAGTCAACGATAAGAATTCTCACTGCAAAGCTAAGATTTTCAGGAATTTTGAAGAATTTCAAGTCTGGTGTTTGCTATACAAAAGATCTGGAAACTCAAATGCTAAATTTGGAAACTCACAGACAGTTGAGGAACAAATAAACCCAAACATCCAGGACACATGGAGCTAACCTTATATGCACTGTGCATGTTACAGCTTCGAAACAGTAAATCTTTACTCACTTTGATCAGGTGCTCTGTAGCTTCATTGTATTTCTGATGAAGCAGATTCTGCAATTCCAGAATAGATTCCTGGTACTGGACTGTTTCTTTCTCTGTGATCTCATTTGGAGGTATGTCCAGTAAAAGTAACTGCAACTTCTCAATTAACTAGAAGACATTACATGAGGGAAAAATATCTACTGTGTGCTGTGTGATAAAAAAACAAATGAGGCAAACTTGTTTTCTTTGTACCTAAACAGATCTTGGACACAGAAACAATCTTTTTCTAGAAAATTTCTCTAGAAATTGTGCTCTGGCTCAAGCATGTTTAAAGTGTACAAAGCAGGGAAGATGGATGTTGGAATGCTAGAGTGTAGAAACATTGTATGCAAATCCCTTCAAGGCATGTTTGAAGTCACCAGACAATTTCTTTAAAGTCAGCAGTAAATTTTTAATTAAATAATTTAAAAACTGAAGAAAAACTTGTAGGGTTTGAAGGTTTTAGCCAATTTCAGTCATTTGGGCACAAGAAAAGAGTTAGAGGGAGGGGATTGTTAAGGATTGTTCAGGATTCTGTTAAGCTGAAACATAATTTAAACACTTACGTTTAGCACCTCTTTCCCCTTCTCCATCACAAGTTGAATGTCCTCATCTTGATCTTCACGCCATAAGCTCATGAAAGTGTTGATTTCCTGCAGCTCAGTTGGGTCAGGACTTCCATCACAGCTGAGGTAATGCTCCCACTGCAGAAAAAGTGCAGAGCAAAGTGGTTACAGGTGTGTGGTACAAATCACTATTACAAGACAAAGGAGGAGCCTGAAAGACAAATACATTAATGATACATTCACACCTGCACCTAACCAGGACTCTGACCCTTCCTGGTTTATCCCTGTGCCAGAAAAAATGGTTTCCTTTCAAACTAGTGTGTTAAGATACTTCTGCCCACCCAAAACTTGCTATTTATACTTATTTATGAGTGGTTTGTGCTGGGAAGAGTCTGCAGGTCTGCAAAGGCAATGGGATTCAGCACCTGCCCCAAACGAGGGACTAGGGAATAAATGACTGAGCATAGACAGGAGGAACTGCTGCAGGTGAAAGAGGCAGAAGGTTCTCAGACCAGACATTGCCAATAAAACTGACAATTCTTCCACTGGCAAAAAGCTGCTTCAGAGCCTCTACTCCAACATGTTTACTCCTCCTCCTTTCTCTGCCTCTAAAGATTTCCTCCTCCTTACCAGCACCAATTCCATAAAGCTCTGGTGGGAATGTGAAATCCTAGATTAGAGGTTTCTAATAATTTTATTTTCAAATCAATTATTGGTTATTTTAAGTAGTGGAAAGAAAAATTAGTGACAGACTAGATCCATTTAATGCTAAACATAAGCCTAACAATGGCTCATGGGATCAATTTATCACCTCTAATGTCATATTTTCAGCCACAGAGTAGGATATTAAGGAAGCATTGCCTCCCTGTTTGCTGGGAAGATTAATCACACCCTGTTACTGAAAATTGCACTACAAAGCAAAGTGGATCTTTTAAAGCAAAAGCACTTGTATAATTTCGTTCCCAACCACTTCCATAAGCATTTCCACTGACTTCAAAAAGAAGGAACAACAGGGAAGTGCTCAGTGCACTGGAAACTCCTGGATACAATATTGATCAGTCTTCAATAATGATTGCTTTCTTTTTCCCACGTCTTTGCACCTAAAAGAGAGCTTCAGTTTCATCATCACTTCCTTAAAACTAACAGTGCTTTTTTCTTTGAGAAAAAGGATAAATTCCCTATAATTTGTAAATGTATCTGTTAATCTGAACTGACATTGTTCAGAAAGAGCTGTGGAAACTCAGCATTTGGTATTACATATTTCTTTTGTCCTAAGTATTGTTAACAACAGACTGATACAAACTCTGATATTTCCCATATTCTATCGGAAAGTAGATTTTTAATAGTTCTATTTTGCCATTACTTTTGCAAACAAAAAAGTCATTTCTCCTTGCAAGAAACTCTCTTCAGAAACATCCATGAATCACAACTGGCAATGCTCATAAGCTGTAACAGGGAAATGCCAATTGTATCCAAAGGAAAATCCTTACAAGGAGAGTGTTAAAGCTGCCAAAGTGGTGGTTTAAAGATATTGTGGTAACCCCAACCTTCAAATTTTCCAAACCCAACTGAGCACCTTGATCTCACTTTTTTTTTCCCTGCTTTGTGCAGGAGGTTGAACTACATCAATTTCAGAAGTCCCTTCTAATGTGATTTATCTTCTGACTCTAAATCTGTCCTGCAGAGGCTTTAAAAGGATTAAGTGATACACAAGACAAACAGAAAATCCTTCTGTCCACAAGTCTGTTTAACCTTACCTGGAACCAAACTGATCAAATCTCTTATCAGACTGTTACTGAGTGGTGTGTCTGCAAGATGGATTCACTGAGTGAAATGTTCTACTTGTGCATTTCCATACCTCACTTTTAACTTTACAGGTACATAACACACTGGGAGATGATTCAAGCACCATATATGTCACCCTAAACTGCAGACATCAGCTCACAGCTACACTTTCATGTTTCCAGCTCTGATATCTGACCTGGACCTGTGCCATGTCCTTTTGGCCAATCTCTCTCTGAATGATCATCTGTGATATCCAGGAACTACTGAAACAAATGTTGTCAGTTGTCTCAAATTCTGCACAAAGAATTTTTATGCCCTGGTAGAGCTTTTTTGGTGAAATGTTTAAAAGGAAAATGAATTAAAGAACTAGAAAAGAAGAAATATCTGAAATTACAATTCCTCTTGACTGCTAGGACAAAATGGGGTGCTAATGCTCTGATCAGCCAAAGAGGCTCCTCTTGGCCCAGGTGTCTTTTCTGTCTGTGTGCACCAAAGTAAAGCAGACAGAAGAGGCTGAGCATGGTCAGCCACTGCAATGAGATGGAACACGAAATGCAGTCACAGCACACACCTCAGTTCAAGAAATGGAAACTCTTGTGATGGAGTCACAGCCTGAAGTCTCTTCACTGCCAAACCTCTGTGACACTGGGCAGATCCTGCAAGAAATCTTACCTTTGTATATGCTCTGTAATCCCTTTTCCACTGCTGTGCAGACAGAAACTTCTGTTCCAGTGATTGAAGCTCTGCAAGTTCAGACTCTCTTCGTTCCTTATCCTGTTAAAATATAAATATATCCGACAGAGGAGTTCAATATTGGGTTTACTTCTTACAACTGTTTCATACAAAATAAACAAATTTGGCCTATTTGAATGAGTTAGTATTAAACAAATCCAAACACTGATAAATTGCTTTTTTTCTGACACATTTAATTGGGAAGACTGCAGCAGTTTGCAATATGTTATTGTCACCACATGGTTGCTGAGCCATATGATAAACATAATGTGACATATGATTGTTAACCTCTCTCTTGAACAGTTTCCATATCATCAGGCTGGAGGTGGCTCTAATGAGAGCTGCTAAAAATGTAAGCATATGTTGGGAAAACCTGTGTAAGACTAGTTTGGGTTTTTTCTTATCACTTCTATTATTTTAAATTCCTCTTCTCCCTAGGGGAAAACAACATTCTGGGAAGTCCTTTTTCTAAAATAAATACATAAATATTTACCGTAAATATCCTTTTTTTTCCCTGAAAGCACAGAAATATTTAGATATTACCAATCAGTTTTTATTTTTAGTTCCAGGCTTCTCAGAAAAATCAATATACATAGTCTAATACACACACAAATCACTGTATGTGCCCTAACAGGTAACCAAGTAAGGAATTTATACCAACATTTTCTTGCCACAGCTGTATCAAGTAGAACTATGGGAATTAACTGGAAGTATTACACATTTATTAATACATTAAAAAATACATTTGATTGGAAGTATAGTGCAAGTGGAAAAAAAAGAGATATTTGTTCCAACTGACTCATCATACCACAAACATTAATGCATATTAATGTATCAAAACCAAGCAAGATTATCTCAGCCATTTTTCTGAATCAAAGCCACACCAAGCCAAACATTTGCTCAGTGAAAGAATTCTATAGAACACCAAATCCAGCCACATTCCCCTCACCTTGACAGGCATTATGCTTCATCACTAACCCAGCTCACTACCTACTCCATGTGTGGGATCTTATTCCAGATCACCTTTCAGTGCTTTGGCTACATTTTATGTCTAATGTTAACCCAGTGATGCTGGAAAATTTCCTCTACCTTGTTCCCAGCTGTAAGTACATAAGGAAATTCATTCTTGTTCTTACAGTAAATGTTTTACAGACATTGTCTCAAGTTTAGAAATAGGATTAGAGTTTTCCAGTAAGTACAAACTAACTTTTGCCTCAAGCTTTTGCATGTGCTCTTGTTTGAGTCTCTCCTTGTCAAGTCTTGCTTCTTCTTGTTGAGTTTTAAACTGGGCTTCATCTGAAAATTGGGAAAGAGGTCAAGAGCATAACTGTATTTTGCTTAATAAAACCAGACAAGTGATTTTGTTAGTAGCGGTAATGACAGTGAAACAACCATAAAATGAGCAACACAAACTTATATCTTACATGGGACAGAAATCTTTAATGTGAGTCAAACTAATCTGAATCACAGTACTAAAACACATTCCCTATGGCACTGCCCCATCAGCCTGTGGAGGATACACGGAGGCCTCCACCTACTAGTGAAGACAAGGATCAGCCAGCCCTCCTTTTCCCCTCAGAAACAGCAGCAGAAGTGCTCTCTCCTGCCCACAACTTCAATGGACCCAAGTTCTTAATCCAAAGCCTATGGAGAAACTGAGTGGTCTAGTCCCAAATTACTCTTATCCTTTCCTACAACTTCAGCCTTACAGCTGTTTGTTCACTGAGATCCTCTTAAGGTTCAGGTACCCCTCATCACAGATCTGGCTCTTCTTTGCTGCCACAGGGACTAGATAACCAGAGAGGACGTGAAAACTAAAATTGATTTCAACCCCGAAGCCTTCAGCTGAAACTGCCACAGCCTGTGCACCAATCCAGAGGTTCCCAAACAGTGACTTCAGTGTCTCTGCCTAGACATAAATCACACCAAGTATGTGTGTTGCACTAAGGCAACAGCAGTTCCCAAATCTGCCTGTACTCACCTGAGCTGCTACTCCCATCCACAAGCGATTAGTAGCCACTTACATTACTAGCAGCCACAGCATGCCCAAGCCCCCACCAGGATGGATTCATGGCAAGCTAATTCTTCCCAAGTTCCTAATTACAGTAGAAATAACTGGAAAAGGGAGTATTGCTCTGATAGGAAAGAGATGCAGTAACAAGCAACACAGAATTTGGCCCAGAACAGAAGGAGGAATCCCCTATATTTGTGAAACAAATATTGATGCACATATAGTTTAGGAAATTACTTTCTGTCCATTTATTTAAAATAAATGATTTCCAGCATATTCCCTATGAATGAGGTGCACAGTACCTTCCTCTTTCACCCTCTTCTCTTCTTTCTGTAGTTTCAGTTTTTGAGCTTTGCTAACTTTCTTTTTGCCACTGGACTTAGATGTCTGCAATAAATCAGAAGAAAACAAACATCAGTAATATTTTAATACATTTTGGGAGGTATATAACTCTGTAACTTTGCCCTTCCAATGTGATCCCTGAATTAAATTAAATCCAGCATTTACTTTTTTAAAACAGAGAAAAATGTCAATGGGGTCAGAGTGTGAGGCAATGTGAAAGAAGGAAGAAACACCCACGAGAGTCTGAGTGCACCTTAGCACACTGGTTACCAAAGCATTTCTTTGCAAAATTCTCCTAGAATAGTCAGCAAAACCCACAATTCTACACATTAAGATTTCAGGGAAGAATCAGTTCCTCCCAGTTAAAAAAAACCAAACAAACAACAAACCCCAAAGCAAAGGAAAAAACCAAAACAAAACCACACAAACCACAACTTTGATTACTTTTCTTTCAGTGAAAATTTGTAATCACTTTTTAGTCAACTTCTTTTCACATTCTTAGGACTTCATATAGTCCTGACAAAACTGAGATGCACAGTTCTCCAAGGAATACATTTGAGTATGTTCTTTTTTTTGGCAGGGAGAGGTGGATAAATTCATTATCATTGAATTAAGAACAATCCATAGGATGAACTTAAAGAATCCAACTTCCCTTGGACTTCTCCCTGTTGTCCCCACAGCCACTATGTTCTGTGTCCAGCCTGTTGTTCAAATCAGAGAACCACAGAATCATTTAGGTTGGAAAAGACCTCCAAGATCATTGAGTCCAACCTGTGACTGAACACCACCATGTCAAACTAGACCAGAGCATTTAGTACCATGCCCAGTCTTCCCTTAAACACCTCCAGGGATGGTTATTTCACCACCTCCCTGGGCAACACATTCCAATGCCTAATCACTCTTTCAGTGAAGAAATTCTTCCTAATGTCTAACCTGAACCTCCTCTGGCACAGCTTGAGACTATGTCCTTTTGTCCTGTCACTTGTTACCTGGGAGCAGAGTCCAACCCCCACCTGGCTACAACCTCCTGTCAGGGAGTTGCAGAGAGTAATAAAATCTCCCCTGAGCCTCCTTTTCTCCAGGCTAAACACTCCCAGCTCCCTCAGCCTCTCCTCACAGGGTTTGTGTTCCAGACCCTTCCCCAGCTCTGTTGCCCTTCTCTGGACTCATTCCAGCACCTCAATGTCCTTCTTGCCATGAGGGGCCCAGAACTAGACACAGCACTCAAGGTGTGACCTCACCAGTGCTGAGTACAGAGGGACAATCACTTCCCTAGTCCTATTCCTGATCCAAGCCAGCCAAGCAGAACACTCAGTGGCTGCACTGACCACTATCTGCCCAGCAGAAAAAGACAGCTCAGACTCCTTGCAAAAGGCTTAGTGTCCTGGAGACAACTCTTCCCCCTTCAAATTCAATTAACACTGAGCAACTGTCTCAGAAAAACCAATTCAGATTTAAAACATAAACACAACAGTGAACTAGAGCATATTTCTGCCTACTTACCTTTTTCTTCATATTTTGACCCTAAAAGGTTGGGAGGGAAGAAAGGAAAGTGAACATCAGAGAACAGGTATTGACAAGAAAGGAATAACTGGAAAACACAACTATTGTTAAAATCAGATGTGATCAATTATTGAAAAACTATAATGACAGTAATTTCAATATTGCAGGAAATTAGCCACTAACACAACTCCAGAACTTCACGGTTTATCAGGCAAGACCACACTTAAGATTACAGAATGTAACTACTTCTTCTGTCAAAAATAGTCATGTACATGAAATAGGCAATGAGAACCTACTCTAAAAAGCCAAACATCCAACAAACATCCTTTATTCTCAATTACCTTTTCTGTGCAACATCTAGATACTGCCATGTGAACTTCATTAACTGTAGTGTGATTGATTACTCACACGGGAATGAAGTTTGCTACCACAGACAGATCCTGCCAACAAAGTCTGAGTTCCCTCCCAGCTGGTTTCACACTAAGCAGCCACAGCAACAGGGAGCTGGGTAGGGGATTGCAGGAAAGCCAACCTGCCCTTCAGGTGGGTTTCCAGTCTTAAATCCTATTTGCCATAGAGTAGTATTCAGTAGCAAATGTGGAACACTTTGGTCCAAACCTTACCAACTCCAGCACCTGATCCTTCCCCCTCCACCTAATGAGCCCCACCCATCACATCACTCAATCCTTAGCCACTCCACCACCTGATAAATCCCTACCCCATCACCTGACCCTGATTCACTGCACCACCCGATCCTTCCCCACTTTTCCACCTGGTAATTCCACACCCCATCACCTAATTCTTATTCACTGCACCACGTAATCCTTCCCCATTCCATCACCTGATAATTCCCCACTCCACCTACCGATCCCTACCCATCCCACCACCCAGTCCTTCCCCACTCCACCGACCTGATAATTCTCCACTCCATCACCTAATCCTTATTCACTGCACCACTCAATCCTTCCCTGCTCCACCACCTCGTTCACCCTCTCAGGGCACCTCTCCCCATGGCCCTTCCCTCACTCCTACCCCTGCCAGAGCTCCCAACCCTGGCACCACCCCAGTCATACAATCATAGAATCACCCTGGTTGGAAGA